CCCAGACAAACCAATCTGATTTCTGTTTCTATGAGTTTCCTTCCCTGGAAATTTCACATAAAGGGAAGCACACAAAACCTGATCTTTTGTGTCCGCTTTCTGACATTGAGCTGCATTATTTTGACGTTCCCCCACAATGTACCAGGTACCCGACCTTTGTTCTTTATGGTTTAAAAAATCCCAGGGTTGTGAAGACACCTCATTTTGCTGGGATGGATGTGACCCAGCATGGAGGGTGTATAGATGAGAATTCAAACCAGCCATGTGTTATAGACACTCACATCACAGGGTGAGAACAGAAGGACAGTGAAGGAGAGGGAGCAAGGACAGGGAGGGAGGGCAGGAGAGCACCCAAGTGGAAGGAGGAGGCGTCCTCTACAGGGACATGGCACATGTTCTCCTGTACCCAAACCTCACCTACCACATCTTCTCCCCTACGCATTCTCAGCAGACAGTTCCCCCAACTATGGTCCACATTTTCTTTCATCACCTCCTGGGATCATCAGATGGGCTCCAGGGATCCCCCATTCTGAACGCTGCATTGTTCCCTCTGTGTTCACATCCTGGCTGCATTGAGGGCACTTTTGTTGTCGTTTTGAGCCTGAAATAGCAGCACCCCGAGCACCACCAGGACCAAGCCAGCCATGACCATCCGGATGAGATTCTCCACTGTGTAGTCATGGGGTTTGGAGGCTGCAAAAATGTGGATTCAAAGGTCAAAAGGTCAAGGCAGACCCAAATCTCCAGGATTTGGAAATTCAACCTGGACTCCCACCTCCCCTTGACATCAGTGCCCCTGTGATGTCTGAAGTGAGCAGCTGCTCTGAGTATCCTTGATAAGAGTTAGCTGTGCCCAAGAACGGAGGATGAGTGAAGAAATGGTCTCAATTTAGAAATAACTAAGAGCTGTGTGCTCTGTGTTCAGCCTGAGACTCAAGACCCCATGATCTTATTCCCCTACAGCTGAGAGATCCCACCTTCTCAAAGCTGGGGTACTAAGTTCTATGGAGGAGGGGTTGGTGTCAGGGGCTCCTGAATCTCAGGAGCATGAAGGGGTGAAAGTCTGGGCTGGGTTTCCTTCACCCCACCCCGCCCAGGCCACTCCTCTCAGGGCCTGCTATTTTCATTGTCACCTGAAGTTGTTCATCTATTGATTCTTTTGCTAACTCGTTTATTATACAATAATGAATACCTACAATGGTAGATATATTTTCCAGATGAAAAATATGGGTATGTGCATGCTAATCATGTGATATTTTTAATCTCAAAAGACAACAGAGTTCACAACCAAGGTAGTACAGTTCTGCTTCAAACATTACATAACAGAGAAAATACCATTAATTTGCAGTATTGAGTGAGCACCAATTATAGGAAATTAAACATCTGTTACCCCATTTTGATATAAATACCAAGATATAAACATAAATTACGGACCTCTCCTCATCACAAAGATCCAAGCAATGATTCTAAATCCCAGCTCCCACAATTCAGAAAATGCATGTGGATGATGAACATTATTCCGTTGGGTTAGTAGCCAAATGGTTGCTACCAGGAAGCCTTTGTAATGTGTGTCATGTGGTTATAAGTCAAAGAGAAAAGGTAATTTGGGCAGATGTGTATCTGCCAGAAAAAGAGCATTCCTAAGAAACCATAATGAAATAAAACAAATTGAAAAAAGAGACCCCTGTAACCTGATGGTCACAGGGCTTCCCTTGGTGACAATGGGTCCTGGGTCAGCCCAGATGGAGAGTTTGGGGATGATTCCCGGGAAGGAATCAGACCTGAAAGACCTGGCACCCTATCTCCCCCGCATAATGTCATGAATGAGCCAAGGATGCCATTTAATGAGCACCTACTGTGTTTGAGGCTCCTGCTGGGGTCTGTCACTCATGTCCTCTCACCTCATGCACCAGGAATGGCTGACCCCACCATCTATTTCACTGAGGCTCAGAGAAATTAACCACATGCCCCAGGTCACCCAGCCTGCAAGGGACGGGGCTGGGACTGGAACCCAGGACTGTGGGTTCCCTGTGCTGTCCTCACACTGCCCCCCAGGTGGTGACTAGCTTCCTGCTCTGGACTCCTCCTCTGCAGGGGCCTTGTCAATGTATCTTCTAGAGCTGAGGGTCCTTCCTCATTACTTGCCCGCAGCACAGCAGGGACAGGGAGGGGCAGGGTGTGGTGTGGACTCTGGGTTTCTCCGGATTCCATCTCAACCTGGGAGGCCCTGATGCCCCGTTGGGAAGGTCGGGCTGGGCTGGGGGCTCTGCCTTCCTGAGCTCTGTGAGGCCCTTATGTCACCTCATCTCCCAGCAACTGTGAGCAGGATGCAACCAGGGATGAGCAGACAGGAACCTGACACTCAGAGAAGAGAAGGGACCGCCCAGCCCCACAGCAGGAGCAGCAGAGCCTGGAGCTGAGCCAGGGCTGATCCACCCTGTTCCCTCCTCGGAGCTGAGCCTGAGCTGAGGGTTAGGACCTGGTAACCAGACTCCTGTCCTGCCTGTCCCTCCCTGTACAGTGTCACCATCACTGAGACAGAGGGGACAGGCCCCAATACATCATGTCCTGGGGGGTCCCTGTGAGGCCCCTTTCCCAGGAGGTCAGGGCCAGAACTGACAGGAAATCTAATCTCTGGACAAGGATTCCCTCCTTTTCACTTAGAGACACTGAGGACCAGGGAGGGGAAGGGCATGTCCAAGTGAGAGACTTCAGAGGGGCCTGAATCCTGTAACCCCCACCCCCATCGTTTAGCCCCTGATCCCATAGAGGAATCTACAACCTCTGCAGGACTCTCACGTACCCCACTGTAGGCATGACTTAGAGCCTCCTGGGGATGAGGAGGAACGGTGTGGGGTGGAGGCTGCCTTGTCTCACTAGAGCTCAACTCCCCCTCCCCAGGCTATGCCCCCATGTCCGCTTCTGCCATGACCACCCAAACCATCACTGCCTCAGAGCCCTGGGTCTCCCAGCCCTCCTGGGACACAGGCCCGTTCTTGAATAACTGGGTCACTCGAACCCCTGACAGACTCTCAGGACTTGCTGGGTGGGCTGTGCTCCCTCTGAGCAGAGCTCCCCAGGACTCACCAGCTGTGGAGGTGGGCCCTGTGGGTGGGGGGCTGGGGCCTCCAGAGGGTCCTGGAAATGAGGAAAGAAAGGGGTGAGGTGGAGGCTCACTCTGGAGTTTCCAAATAACTCCATCGCTTCTACATCTGCTCTGTGACTCCCGAAGACACTTCCCCCGCACACTTAACCACTTCCAAAACAATTCATGGGGAGGATTCAGCAAAAGTGGGCGCTTCTCTGAGAGAAAATCTCTGCTGGGTGAAGAACACTCAGACCCCTCACTCTCCTCCAACCTCAGATGAATACTGGGGGCGGGACCCTCAGCTGCCTGTGCTCAGAGAGGATGAAATCAGGGGCCGCTCACCTGAGACCCTTAGATGCAGGGGGTCACTAGGGTCAGACCACTCCTGGGGATTCTTCTCAAAATAACCATAGCATCTGAACTGGAGGCTGGAGGTCACGGGGCCCACAGGGAACAGGGCCTGGGACCACCCACTGGGCTGTGGCTGTGAGTCCAGAGTCCAGGAGAGCCTGTGATCTCCTTCCTTAGTCAGAATGAACCTGTCAAATCCCTGCCCTGAGCCACACTGGAGGGTCACGTTCCCTCCTGAAGTCAAGACAGGGCTGGGCAGGGCTGAGAGGCTGGGTTTGCTGTAGGCTCCTAGGAGAGGAGGAGGCAGCATGGTGAATGGACTCACTCTTCCCTCATGTCCCCGTCTCCAGGCTCCAGCGATTTCTGTCTGTCCAAGTACCGAGGACTGCCATCTGCATACAGCCGGTACTCCTGAGCCTTCGAGGTCCCCCGACACCAGATAGTCACAGGGCTCCCCCAGGGGATCACAGTGCCTGGCTCAGCCCAGATGGTGGGTTTGGGGAGGGTCCCTAAAAGGAAACAGAGGCTGCTTTACAAAGACCTTCCCACAATCATCCCCCAGTCAGCCCAAGACCCTCTCATTTTATCACCGCTCCCAGCACCTGTGCTCCCTCCTGAGCCTCAGGGGTGAAGTAAGAGGAGGGACTTGGAACCTGGGGAGGACTCACCTGCCTGCATGTGGATTCTCTGGTCCAGACTCAGCCCTGGAAGAGAGTCTCTGTGAGAGTTTTGCACCCGGACATCTCAGCTGATTACCTTTCCATCAGGGGCCCGTCCACTTGAACTGCTTGAGCCTGACGTTCCCCATGAACAAGGGGGTGTAAACACTCTGTCCCTCCTCCCGCTCTCCCTCCTGCCTTCCCTCCCCATGTCCACAACTGACCCAGGCAGAGAAGGGCAGAGAGGATGGGCGTCATGGCGTCTGCTCTGAGGGCTCCTGCTCTGCAGATGGAGGAGTCCTGGGCCTGAAGGACAGAGACGCACAGGATGTGGTGGGTCCGGAGCTGCTTCCGCCTTCTGGGTTTCACAGGTGTGGACCCACAGCCAAGGGAGGACCCCGACATGGGCCTGGCTCTGCATCTCCCCAGGATGAGGGCTGATTGGGACACAGATACTCAGGTTGCACCTGATTCTCAGGGTCTCATGTGACTGACGGTCTGACTCCTGCTCTGATAGGACAGGACCCAGGATCTGGTCCTTATCAACCCCTGAGAGTCTGGCTCTGAACAGCATAATGGGTCCCGCCACCATGGCTCTTGAGGGACCTCACTTAAAATAGACTCTGCTAAGCAGTTTACCAGTAGCCTCAGCATTTCCAAGACTTTCCCTGATTCAAGGACCCAGATAGGTTCCCATCCCTGTCAACCCTTCATGTGTCCAGCCTTTTTAATTTACATTATTCAGTGTCAGTATTGGTACCACCCTGTGGTTTGATGCACATTTATTCCTTCAATGACTTAGAAAGCTCAGCACCTGTTATTTAACAATTTTCTTTTTACTCCTCACCTGATGGTATTCTTTCCAATGATTTTTAGAGAGGATGGAAGGGAGAGAAGGAAAGAGAGAGAGAGAAAGAGAGAGAGAGAGAGAGAGAGAGAGATCGATGTCAGAGATATACCAATTGGTTGCATCCCAATGAGGGTTGACGAGCAAACCTGCAACCAAGGTACATGCCCATCACCGGGAAGCAAACCTATGACCCTTCAGTGGTCAGGCTGATGCTCTAACCACTGAGAAACACAAGCCAAGGCCAGCTCATCACCTTTACCTAATGTCACTGCACCTTTGCATGTCAATATCAGTTGCTTGATAAAGGTGTTTGCTTGCTTTTGAATTTTTCTTTGCTGCCACATTACAGATCTGTAATATTTCTTAGGTGATCTGAGTGCCAGTCCATGGTCTCATTTTGTCATCATAATTATCCTCTTCCTTGGCTCGCTGGTGTCTATGACGAACAGAAGTTCATGTTTGTGATTCCACTGTGTCCATTTCCCCCTAAGTTCGTGTTCTGTGTCCACATGAAAAAAAATTCTCACAAGTTAATAAGATAGTTTGGTAAAAGAAATAGTAATTGATTTATTTTTCTTGTTTTGATCTGTCACCCATCCTGCATTGCTTATTGCAAATGCTGTGAGGCAGGTAAGATGTTCACCGTGTCCTAGAGGCTCACCCACTGGCCCAGCCATGGTCATTCAATGCAAAGACCATGACCTCCCCACTGAATCATCCAGGTGACTCCACATGCGGGTTCTGACCAGGAGTTTTCCTTCTGCTCCTTGGATGAGGCGTCTCTACTTTGCAATTCTTCAAACCTTCACCATCTCCATCTGCATTGAATGGCTGGCTTCATTTCTTCCATATCTCAGTCGAGAAGAATTCGCACCATCTTTGTGGGGCAGGTGTCGGTATTGCTGAGAAGTCAAGGGAGGAAGTGCTCTGCTTAAGTGTCCTTCAACCATTCAGGATGTGGTAGCGCCACATTGATATTTAATGTGTGTCTGTGTGTGTTGCTGCCTTGGAACAAGACTCCCATGAATGTTGTTCTTCTCTGAGTCCTGATGAGTCCCCACAGTTTGAAGAGGAGAGTGTCACCCAGCATCGAAGGTGCTCTGAAGGGGCAGAAATGACTCAGATGATTGACCCTCAGGACTAGGAAACATCCTGCTTCTCACAGAGACAGAAAGTCAGGTGGAACCTGTGTGAGACATAGGACCTCCGTCCCAGGGCCAGGAGGAGGTGCTGAGCGGCCCTGAGGGAACAGATGCATCTTGCACAGCCCTCAAGCTCCACTCCTCCACCCCTGTGCTCACTGTATTAAGGGCCCCTTGGTTTTTCCAGTCTATAGGCACAGAGGGAGAAGAGACTGGCTTGAATAGCAGTTCAATAAATGTGTCCCCAGGTCTTACATTATAACGTGGAAATTGTCTCCAACATGCTCTTCTACCCAAAGCATAGAGATCGAATAAACAGAATTAGACAAAGAGGTACAGTCTGGGGGGCAAGAGGCAGTGAGGAGGCAGGAAGGATTCTGAAGGTTTGATGGAGAGGGATGGAGAAAAGGGGGTCTGCACACAGACAAGAAAGTCAGAGAGAGGACTTTCTGGTCTCACCCTGTGATGTGAGGGTCCCTCCCACAAGGCTGTCCATCCTGCTATGCTTTCTGTTCGGTGTCTCCCTCTCACAGCCCAGCCCTGAAGGACATGAGGGAGGTGTGAGCCCATTTAACACTACCCCCCAAGGCAGCCATTGTGTCCACCTTCTTCCTGAGCTCTGAGCTCCACACTCATTCCCTTCTCCAGTTCACCCTCCACATCTGCCTTTGCCACTCCCTTTCAGAAGCTGTTTATGCTTAAACCCTTCCATGGTCCTCACTGTCTTCAGGGTGAATCCAGGTTCTTCCGTCTGAACTCAAGGCTGAGCATGATCATCCAGATGTGACCCTCCCACCTCAGCTCTCACCTCTGCTTCCCTCAGACAGATGGGTACAGTGGCCCATAAACACACACATATCCACACACTCATACACACATGCACATTCATACACACACTCACACACACACACACACACACACACAAGCACATA